ACAACAGGGGGAACTCCAAGGGAGAGCATTTTAATGGGTCAGAAGTTAAAACAAAAACAAGAGTAAGAAACTTGCTCCACTTCTTGTCGGTTCTTGATGAAACAAAGAACTTCAAAACTTGAAAGGGAGAAAAGCCCCCAGTTCAGTGAGGAGTCCTCTAGCTCTATCCACTGCCCCAGGCCACCTTCATCTTCTGGCTGTGAGCTTTGGAAGATTTGGAAAATAAGCTCTTCACTATATGAAGGGGCACGGATTTCCCACTGAGGTACAGTTTATTGTGGCAGTCTGGCAACCAGGGCCCTGCACCAGTGTCAGTGTTTTTTTCTTTCTTGAGCATCCAGACATAAGCCATGATATAGCCGGTCATGAATGCATCGAAGCCAGCTCGGTGTGTGCCCCCCTGCGAAGGCAGACGATGGGTTTCCTTTTCCTTTTCTGCAGCACATGCTGCTTCAGTCTCAGGGATGTCAGAGTGATTCACTAAGCCAATCCCAGTGGGAACATCTGACTTCCCCTCTGCTTGGTCACTGTCAGAGGCATTTCCCTTGGCAGAAGGGCTCACAACAGCTGCTGCCTGGGCAGTAGTTCCTTCTGTGCTCTCCAGATCCTCTTCCCGTTGTGCACTGGTATCTGAGCTGAGCTCTGCTTCCATGTCCGTGTTCTCCTCCAGTGGCCTGCCCTCGCAGTTGGGTGTGATCTCTGCCAGCACTGTGGCAGCTGGAGGCTCACAGCAGCCCCGTTTTTGTGGTGGTCCCTCTTCCCCATTCTGAACTAGCTCCGCTTCTTTCCCTGAGCTTTCCTGTTCCTTTACAGGCTCTCCTATGTTCTTCTGACGCCTCCATTTCGGCTTCCGTTTCTTCTGCTTCTTCTCGCAAATCTTGTCGTCCTCATCAATGATGAGGTCTATGTTATGAGAATGTGGACACTTGACCCCTTTCGGACACCAGCCATAGGCCTAGGGAGAGAAAGAAAGTCTGTAGCTACCAGTGTGCTGATTAGAGCATCCTGTCACCATAACATGGAGCAGAGCCAATTATTCTACTGAGGGCTTGTGAGGCTGTATCAGGAGTGCTGTGTTGTTACAGCTCCACAACACAAATGAAAGGCACTGACAAACTGCAATGAGTGCAGCAGGCAGTTATCAACATGCAGCACGCAACGTAGGCTAATAAAAGTGGGTTTGTTCTACCTGGAAAAGACAAGGGTAAGGGAATGTGGATACCTAGCTATAGATGGAGGTTATAGAGAAGATGGAACAGAACTTCTGAAGGGAGCAGAGAGAGATGTGACGTGGTAAGAGTCAGTGGAAATTCTGACTACATATTTCAGTAAGTGGTCAAGCACTGGAACAGGGTCCTGGAGGGGGTTTGCAGTCTCTGTCCTTAGACACTTTCAAAATTCACTAAACAAAGCTCTGAGCAACACTGAATTGATGGTCAGGTAAGAAACTTCCAGAGATCTCCCCAGCCTGCGGTGCTCTGTGACAGTAACATGTAGCATCTGGATGAGCTCCTTTTCTCCTTGAAGCACCTGAAACCAGTTATGATCTGATCAGATGGGCTGTTTACTGCTGCAGCAGCACCAGGACTCAAGACACTGTGGATCGCAGTGTGTCAGAAGCTGCACAGAGGTAACCTTTTTTTGATACCTAATTGGGGAGGCAAGACATGGCATTTCTTTCTCAGAGGACAAACCAAACTAATTCAGACCTTGCTGCCCTCCCAAGACAGCAATGGGTACCACTACTCGTACCATCCCACTGTTTAGGGCCATATAATCTCTTTCTCAATCTTTGTGTCTAATGCAGCCTTGTGGAATTCACTGCCTCTGAACAGAGCGTGCTATTGCCCTTTCCATCATGAAGCCACCTGAACCCTGCAAATCTTTCTTGTACTGTGAAGCAAGAAGGGGAGGTTTGCAGGTGCCTTCCTGCCACTTCTCGCTCTTTCCATGGACCCAGGAAAGAAGCAAGGGTTCAAGTTACTTACCGAAAATTTCTCACAGACAGGCACCTTATCTCCCCCTCCCACACTGTGATTTTCCTCTTCCAGAGAGCAGTGGCGATAGTCAATGTAAATGGACATGTTGGCAGGGTAGTTGCAGAACTCAATGGTGAGGTGCTGACTGCTGGAGTCCTTCAGCTTGCAGTTCTCTCGCTTGCTGTAACAAGAGTACACGGTTACTGCAGGTAACTCACTGAAAGTAGCTCAGTGTGGAGCTGGTGCAAACACACTGCTTTCCATCACATCTCAACTCCACGAGTTTCCTGCTCTTGAGATCTAGCCCCAGCTTGACAGCTTGCTGGGAAGAAACACAGTCCTTGGTGCACAGCTTTAGTAAGTAGTTGTTTCCGTACTGATTCAGGAGTTGGTTTCTCTTATGCCAACACCCAGGCAGAGACACCAGCATCTCTGGTGGAGCTACAGGAGGAGGACACACGGTTTAAGTAGTAAGGGCACTAAGATATGCATTAGTCTTCATAATCTTAACGGATGAAGAAAAAATGCCCCAAACTGAGGTACCATGTAGAGCATCCCGGACCCACCACCCAGACAGGTTGAGCCTGAGCAATACAGACAAGAAGGAAACATTTTCCAGCTCATGAGAAAAAGATCTGTTTTTTTGTCCCAAGAGCTGGCTAAAAAGGAGCAAAAGGAAAGCTCCATGGAACCAGATCTGAGGGTCGAAATATTTAAGAGGTCAGTTTAAAAAGTATTTTTATCTTGTCAAAACACAGCATTCTCATGTTTGAGAACAGGCATCTTGAATGTTTTCAGACCTGTCAAAGTGGCATTTCCTGACATAAAACAGTCACTAAAAATAGTATTTCTCCTCTACAGAGCGTGACTTCAGTTTAATGGAGATTCAAGGGGTTGTATTGCTGCCACGGGCTTGTTTATATTGCATGGGGAGCACAAAATGAGGCACCAGATCAGCACTTGAAGCAGACAAACACGTGTCCTGGAACAAGAGAGCAACCCTTGCTTGAGGGTGAGATGATGGGGGTTGCAGATGGCTGCATGCAAGTGTCACATGGAGGAGGGTATGTGACAGAGCAGGTCATCATCAGGAGGTGCAAGGAGCACCCTTTAACAGCACCATCCCTTGCAAAACTGACTTACAATTACCAGACCCTTCAGGCACAACCCTGTTTTCTCTTGCTCTCTAGCTGTGTTTCAAGGGTCTCTCTCCTGTACGTGCTCCTGCCACCGCTGGGCCAGAGCCATGCAGTGAGTCAGTTAGTTTGCAGTTAGATCAGGGCACTGTGTAGTCAGTCTTCAGTTCTGAAACCCTCTTTCAGCAGCTGCCCACTGAACAGACAAGGTGTATCACGAAAAGCACCCTCATGCACTCAGCATCTGTCCTAGAAATGAGGAAAGTCCCTTTCTTCACACAATATAAAGACCCACCTCCCTTGCCTGGAAAAACCAAAAACCACACCAACTGCTGATGCTCCATTTGCCTTCCCTCCCACAAGCTTTAAATACCAGAGTCTCACTTACCACTTCTTGTAGGCATACTCCAAGTAGGAGGCTACAAAGCGAGTCTCAAACTCTGAAGCGTATTTGGTGTCATATATTCCTGCTGGAAACATTTCTGAGAGGTCAGTGGTGAAGGTGCCGAGGCTGTCGGGGAGGTGAGCATAGAAGCACTGGTACAGGAACACCAGATCGATCAGGCCGTTATGGAGAACGAGAGGCTTCTTCGCTCGTATGAGCTCCAGGAAAAAAGTCCGAACGCTTTGGCTCTGGTTCTCGTTGCCCTGCAAGAGCAAGGATTAGTCAATGAGCCTTGGAGCCTTGATTTGCCATTACCCTGGGCAGTGCTCATCCTACTGCAACAGAGCCCACAGCCTTTACTTGCTCTGACCAAACAGAGGCTCAAATATCTGGAAGAGCAACTGCAACAAGTGGCAGCCTGGATATAAACCAGCAGGGAGATGAAGGGGACAATGCTGCACTCAAGACTCCAGCATGAGCCCATGTTCACTGGGCAGCTGTGTAAGGGAGATGCCAGCACCGGGGAATACCAGCAACCCCCCGAAGATCAGCGCAAGCCAAGGCAGTGGAAGAGGAGTCACTGTGTACCTTGTCATTCCCCTTGTGGTAAGGGATCCCTTGGGAATACTGCTTGTTGAAGTCGAAGCCGTGCTGCACCAGGAACTGCACCGACTGCGGTTCCACGATGTAATCCTCCGTGCAGAGCAGTGTCAGGTTGTAGATCTGGCACAGATACGTGTTCTCGGCCTGCAGAGCAGAGCGTGCGAGGCCATGCAGGGCTGCCCACCCCAGCCAGCTGCAGAAGGGGCAATTCCATGCAGCACGGGTAGGCAGAGCCCCTCCGCTCCCTCGGGGGGGGGGCTGGAACCGAGCACGTACCTTGTCCGGGAGCTGCTTGAAACACGCGACGCCGAGGGACAGGATGGAGCGTGTCCTGGCCGCGCTGCACACCGCCTTGTACCGCTCCTCGATGCACCTGCGCGGCAGGAGAACGGGAGCTGCCGCCTCCGTCCCACCGCAAAACCCGCAAGGGGAAGGGAACCGGGCAACCGGTGACGGTAAGTCTGACTGAGCTACACCCCCCCCCACACACACAACGGCATGCCCAGGCACTCACGGGTTCAGCAGCAACTTCCTGGCGCCGAGGCCGCTCAGCTCCTGCAGGGAGGAGACACCCGTCAGCGGCGCCGCCTCTCACCCCCACCGCCACCGGTTACCGCGCCCCGCCTCACCGTGTCCACGGCGACGAAGGTGGCGGTGCGCAGCGCCAGCACCATGGAGGGCCACAGCTCCGTGAAGTTGTTGCTCTGCACGTCCACCACCGGCACCCGCCATCGCTGCGACATGGCTGCGCCCGGGACCTGCGCCCGGGACCTCCGCCCGCGCGGCTGCCCGCGCCGCAGAGCTTGCTGCTCACCGCCGTGCCCTGCGCTGCCTGCCCGGTTCTCGCCAGCAGCCAGCGGGGATTTTTGTCTCTTCTCCAAAACCCCTTTTCAGCCCAAATTTGTTGTTTAAGTAAACAGGCGCTTAACTGGGCAACCCCTTGGGGTCCTTCCGGGAGGCCGCTGCGACCGGCGACAGAAGGAAGAAGCCTCGTTTCTCCCCAGGAGCGCTGATTGGCTCCGGCGAGAAGGAGGTCCCGCCCCTTCTCCCGGGCTGACCGGGAGGGCGTGAGTCAGCCCGCCCCTCGCTTCGCTCCGATTGGCTGAGGCGCGGAAAGTGGGCGGGGCGGTGGGAGGGAAACGTTTACCCGGGAAAGTCTCACGTGGCGCCGTCCCGGCTCCCGGTCCCGGCGGGCAGCGGCTGGATATGAGCCAGCTCCGGGTGGCGGCTGCTGCCGCCGGGGGGCTCCGGAGAACCGGCTCGAGGGCGGCCCTGCCTGCGCGGCGGAGGAGGAAGGGCGCGTCACCCCGCAAAGGTGCCTGGTGGCGGGGAAGGGGCTGGGGGGACGCGAGGTGTCCTCTCGGGGAGCGGCGCCCCCCGCCTCGGCAGCTGCCGGTGCTCATCCGCCCGGCAGCGGGTCCGTCGGGGTCCCGCAGCTGGCCCGGTGGTGCTGCAGTCGGGCCCCGCAGCCCTTCTGCATCCACGCCCGAGCTTGACCCCGTGCCGCTCCCCGGCAGCGGCCCCAGCTCCAGCGCCCGGCCCGCCGTCCTCCCGGCATCTCTTCAGTGACCCGGCCGAGACCGAGGCCCTGCGCAGGAATCTGCTCGCTTGGTACGACACGTGCAAGCGGGACCTTCCCTGGAGGACACGGGTAAGGGGGAGCATCGGGACGTGGGGAACCAGCCCCTCTGCCTTAAGGGGGTGTTGCTGAGGTGACCACGGTGTAGCTCTGTGCAGTGCATCCTGAACTGCATGGAAGACGGTGCTGGAAAGGGGATCATACTCCCAGCCAGTCCTGGCACTTCTGTAGCGGGTAGTTTGTAGCCAGTCCTGGGGCATAAAGAGTGAAGGACACAGGGCGAGACCACACACCTTGAGCATAATCTCCAACTTTTCTTCGGTAACAGCCCAGTTGTCTTTCAGACCCATATTGTTCCTGCATCCATGGCACCAAGGAAAAGGTTTTCCATGTATTTGCTGTCAGCCTGCCAAGCGTTTTTGTTAGTGCTCAGCCTGGCAGCAAGTGGCTGGATGGAGATCAGGGTGCTGGGGGTGGGCATCAGCTCTACAGCAACACCTGTCTGAGGGGTGCCGGGAACTGCGAGGCCCTTGTATGGGATTTGCCTGTGACTGATTCTGTGTAGAGGAGCTTGGATGTGGGACGGTTCCTCTGGTGGAATTTTGAAGCTCTAAGGTAAACTCTTGCTATGGAATCTTCCATCAGGGAGAAGATGCTGTGGCTGTCACTTGATCACCCTGAACTCAGAACCTCTGACTGCTTGGGGGAAACGTTTTCTTGCAGATTCCCATGCAGTGTTCAAACAATACCAAAAGCAATTTCATTTTATATGCAGGTCTCTTCTGCAGTGGGGCCCCGTGTCGCCTTGTTTCCCATAGTCTATCTCCTTCCCCTTTCAGGCAGCAACTGAGCCAGATGCTGACAGACGGGCGTATGCAGGTGAGGAGCAGAGACTGCATCCTGGTGTGCATGGGATGCTCCACTCCCTGGGGCCTCCTGACGTGGATGTGGAATGTGGCCTGGTGAGGAAATATGGCTTCAGTTCCCATCTTGGAGTGGCCACAAGAGTCACTGACCGTCCTGGCAAGGTGCTGGAGGGTTGCAGAGCCCACATGGGGCCTGAGGGAGCTCCTGTATGGCAGCCAGTGGGGACGGTGAAGGGTGGGAAGGGGCCTCATGGGTTGGATGTTGGTGTAATGCTTGCAGTCAGTGCTAACATGGCAATAGCTGATGTGTGTGGCAGTGATGCCTCTGCTCTGATCCCTGCCCTGCTCCCTGCAGTGTGGGTGTCGGAGATCATGCTGCAGCAGACGCAGGTGGCTACAGTGATCGACTACTACAACCGCTGGATGCAGGTAACTGCTGTCCTGGAGTCCTGTGCCTGCAGGCTGCCCCTCTATGCTCTTACCCGCTTGCTATGGCAGAACCCCAGCTGCAGAGCAGGGCTCTGCTTGTCCCTGTCTTGTCTCTCTCTCTATAATGCAGAAGTGGCCGACGCTGCAGGCTCTGGCACAGGCATCCCTGGAGGTGAGCACTGCTAGGACCGGGTGTTCTCCCTGCCCTCGTGGCTCTTCCTAACACTGTGCTGTGTCTCTTGGAGCAGGAGGTGAACGAGCTGTGGGCTGGACTTGGCTACTACTCGAGAGGGAAGCGTCTGCAGGAGGCAGCGAGGAAGGTGCCCTGGTGCTGGGGTGTGGGGGCATCTGTGGTCCATGCGTTGGTGCTGGCTCACAGCTGCCCTGTCTCACTGGGGCTGTGTGCTGCTGCCCAAGCCTACAGAGGCTGGGATCCTGTTTTACCGCAGGGAAAGGGGGTCACACACACAGCCTGGCTGCTCCCCTGACCTCGTCCCCTCTCTGCCAGGTGGTGTCTGAGCTGGCCGGTCGGATGCCCAGGACAGCTGAGGACCTGCAGCAGCTGCTGCCAGGAGTGGGCCGGTACACGGCAGCAGCCATCGCATCCATCTCATACGGGCAGGTGAGAGCTGGACATCAGTGGTCCTGTGTCCCAGGTCCCACTGTTGGGTCTCACAAACCAGGGGCTCCTCAGGGCCTTGTGTGCTCCCTCTGTCCCAGGAGCACCCCAGCTGCCTGCCTTGCTGGGAGCACAGGCACCTCCTGGCATGGTAATCCCTGCTCCTTGTCCCAGGCTACTGGTGTTGTGGATGGGAACGTGATCCGGGTCCTGTGCCGGCTGCGGTGCATTGGTGCTGACTCCAGCAGCCCGGCTGTCATTGACCGGCTCTGGTAAGGGGGATGCTCCATCCCTGCTCCAAGCTGTGTCTGTGGTTGGTGGTGGCCAAGGGCAGGATCACTTGGGAGCCCTGGGGAGCTGAGCCTGCAAAGGGAGAGATCCATGGGGTGCGGGAGCTCTTGGGAAGCAGATGCTACTGGGAATGGTGGAGAAAGGAGCTGTGTTGCTTGTAACTGCTTGGGATAGAGCATCCCCTCTCACAGGCAGGAGGCAGGCAAAGGTCTTGAGCCCTCTCCCTACAGAGCCCCACATTGCTCACTGCTGTTTCTTCCAGGGACATGGCCAATGCCCTGGTAGACAGGAGCCGCCCAGGGGATTTTAACCAAGCCCTGATGGAGCTGGGAGCAACTGTGTGTGTGCCCAAGGCCCCGCTGTGCGGGGAGTGCCCTGTGAAACAGCACTGCCGAGCACGGCTCAGGGCAAGTATGGCCCCAGAATCAGGCCTTAGGGGGTCACCGTGCATGGGGACAGGGTGGGTTGGTGGCTGAGCCTGTCCTTATCCCTGTCCCTTCCTTGCAGGTGGAGAAGGAGCTGGCCTCTGCCTCTCAGAAGCTGCTTGGGAAAGCCACCCCAGTGCCTGATGTTGAGGACTGTGGTAAGCGCCTGGGGACAGCCCTGATGTAACTCTTGGGCTGCGCCCTATGGCGAGCGTTACCTGGGTGTTTGCAGGTGCTGGGGGCTGCCCCCTGTGCCCCCCGGCCGCGGAGCCGTGGGACAGCAGCCTGGGGGTCACCAACTTCCCCCGGAAAGCAGCCAAGAAGCAGGCGCGGGTGGCGCGAGCGGCCACGTGCGTGCTGGAGCGGAGGGGCTGCCGCGGGGCTCCCCAGTACCTCATCGTGCAGAGACCCAGCTCAGGTGATGGGGCCGGGCGGGAGGGGGGCGAAGGCCTCGCGCTGCCCCTTCCCATCAGCATGGGGGGGCAGAGCAGCCTCGGGGAGGGATGCACCAGCGATGTCCATGCTGCTGAGATGGGGAAGGGAGCCCCTGCAGGCTATGGTGGGGCTCAGCGTCCCCAGATGTGCCCCTTGTCATCTCACATCCCTGCCGTGCACCCTCTCCAGGTCTCCTGGCTGGGCTGTGGGAGTTCCCAAGTCTCCCCCTGGCTCAGGATCTACAGGAGGAGAAGCAGAGGGAGGCACTGGCAGAGCACCTCCAGGCCTGGATAGGGCAGCCTGTGGTGGCTGGAGACCTGCAGCTCATCGGAGAGGTGGGCCTGGAGCTGGATGGATGCGGCGCGAGTCCCCCGTGCTCAGCCATGGGGGATTTAGCACGGGGCGAAGAGGGTTCCCCCTTTCACTGCTGCCATCCCTCCTGAGTCCTGCCCCACTCCTCAGAGCCTTGGCAGACCTCGAGCCCTTTTCATGTCTTGCCATCCCCTCACAGGTCATCCACATCTTCTCTCACATCCACCAGACGTACGTGGTCTACTCCTTGTCCCTGGATGGGGACGTGACCCTGGACCCCGCCTCATCCCCATCCCGCTGGGTGACAGAGGAGGAATTCCACGCCTCGGCTGTCTCCACAGCTATGAAGAAGGTACTGGGGTCCCTGGGGCCTTTCCTCCCCTCCCTCAGTCTTCCTGGGCTCTGGGAGAGCCTCTGGCATCCCCCCAACCTCTGTGGGCAGCCCCAGCTCCAGGACCTGGCTGCTCATCAGCTCTGGGCTCTCTTGTGCTTCCTTCAGGTCCTGAAAGTGTGTGGGAAGCAGCAAGAGAAGGGGAGCAACCCTGGCCAGGTGAGCATTGCTGGAGTCCCCCTGGGGGTTGTGCTGAGGCCAAGGAGCATCCCCTGCATGTCCCCAGTACCAGGGTCCCCTTGCTCCAGAGGGGATCCATGGGGGCCGTGGGGTTGGGTTGAGCCCTGCTGTGTTTCCATAGGGCTCCAAGCGGAAGCGAGGGGCAAAGGCACAGGGCACAGGCAGCACCGGCCCTGGGACACAGCTCTCCCTCCGCGCCTTTCTCCGGCCACCAACTGCCCCATGATGGCACCTTCAACATGAGACCACCAGAGCCCTGTGCTGCCGTGAGTCCTGCCTGTGGCTGTGCCTATGGCATTCCCCTGTATTGCTGTGAGCCCAGTACACAGCCCTGGAACAGTGTCCTGTTCCTTGCACAATCCACCAGGCTCCCCTATGGGGAGCTGTGCCTTGATGTGGCCCCTAGGATACTGGGTGTGCCCGGAGCCAGGCTTGCCCTCCTGCCTTGGTTGGAGCCCTCCTGGGGTTATTTGGCTCCATACCACCACTGCTCCAGCACTGTGGGCTCGTGGCAGCAGGAAGGCTGTGGCCACATTGCTCCTGCAGCCCTGTCCCTGCATGCACCTCATCTGTGGATCCTGCTGTCCCCTTCCCGGCCTCCCACAGCCCTTTTTATACACTTGTTTTTACTGAACCTGAGCCACAGGCTTTCTAATAATAAATCTAAAGCGTGTGTGGGTTTTGGAAGTGCCTCTGCCTCTGTTGCACTGTCCCAAGCTGAGGTGTGGGGCAGCCCCTGGTTGAATGTGAGGATGGCCTGCAGGATCCCTGCACCGGGGCAGGGGACAGCAAGGGATTACTCAGTCCCGGAGCTGAGCATTAACTGCTGGTGACCCCAAATGCGGCACCCAGAGCACCTCTGCAATGAGGGCAGGCCTCAGCCCTGGGCCCTGCACGGCTCCTGCCCTTTTCCATCAGGCTGTGGCTTTTCTCTGACTGTGATGCACAGGAGCAGCCTTGCGAAGGCACAAGGCTGGGGGCTGGCAGGGGCAGGGGCCTGTCCTGGGGGTGTCCAAGGGGCAAGCGGCCTCAATTTAGGGCCTGCAGGACTGGGGAAAGCCTGATTTGAGGGGCACTCATCACATCTTAAATGGGAGAAGAGGTAAAACCAAAGCAGTGCTTGCAAGTTCTTTAATGGAGAGGAGCAAGAGCCCATCGCTTGCCCTGTACAGGGGCTGGCCATGCTCTGGTGGCAACCATTGATGAGTGGCAGTGTCCATGGCTCCTGCGTTATCTGCTCCCCTCTGGCAGCCCCTCATCCCCCTATGGCAGGGGGGGTTCAGCAGTGTTCATAGCAGTACAGAACAAGTCTCATTAAGTTAACATGAAATGAAGGCAAGAAGTTCTTCACGTGAGGTCAATAAATCACTGGGAACCCGGGGAAGAGAGAAATCACCATCCATCATGGGGGATGCTGAGTCCTGCTGGACATGGCCCTGAGCAGTGTGCTCCCACATGGAGCTGGCGCTGGCTTGATCTGGTCCCTCAGTCCCTGCCCCTGGTATCCCTACAGGGCTGTGTTGGACCAGAGAGGATGGGGAGCTGAGGGAGGAGGACCGCAGTGTTGCCACTACTGCTGCTGGTCCATATAGATCTGCACAGCTTTCCACAGTGCCTGTATATTGCCTTCCCCAAAGCCTGGTGCTCCCCGCCGGTCAATGAGCTCCAGGAAGAAAGTCTCTTCAGAGAAGATGGGATGGGTGAAGATCTGCATCAGATACTCCTGGGAAGGGCTCTCTGCAGCATCACTGCCCTTGTGCCTTGGTGCTGTGGTGTCCAGCAGGATGCCCAGCTCTGCCAGTGTGTGTGGGTCCTGCCCAGCCCCCTGGATCTCCTCTGCTTTGCCATCCTGGCTGTAGTAGGTGCCTGGGGGTGTAAAGAACCGCGCTCCCCGCTGCTGCAACGTCCTGGTCGTGGTCACAATGTCAGTGGTGCGGAGGCCGACGTGCTGGATCCCGGCCCCACCGTGCTGCTCTAGGAAGGTGTCCACTTGGTTGGTGCCATCCCGAGAGAGGGACTCAGCGAGGACGAGCTTGCAGCCGTGTCCTGGGGCACCCTGGGCGCTCTGCAGCGCAAGGAGCAGCATCCCCGTCCCCTGCCCCCCAAGCACGTACCCCTTGTCCAGCCTCTCCTGCGGGTTCAGCAGGAAGCGTCGGAAGCCGAAGCAGCGCTGGTACCAGTCCAGAGCCGCGCGCGTACCGCCCCGCCGGCACACGTACGTGATGTGGTCAAAGTGGGTGATCTCGATCCCATCCCCTGGGGCTGAGGATGCTCCTCCCATGGGCTGGAAGCCGGGCAGGAAGGGTCCCCGGTAGCGGGATCGGTCCAGAAGGGTATGGCTGATGTTGCCCACAACGGAGCTCACCACCCCATAGGTGACAGACCCGCCGTCATCCCTCACCTCGGTGGGAGGCACTGGCACAGAGCATCCCCGGCTCTGCAGCTGCCTGCAGAGCCCCGGCACGTCGTCCACCTCGAAGCAGACATTGGAGGCGGTGCCCAAGGTGGGCCGGGGGTCCACGTCGTAGAGGAATTCATGGGAGGAATCGGTGGCAGGCGCTGGGTTCAGGCGCTCATTGAGGAGGAAGAGGGCGCATCCCCGGCACAGAGCCAGCTGCCGGACCCGCCGGGTCTCCCGCACCGCCACGGGCTGGAAGTGGAAGGTGTTGGCCAGGTCCTGGGCCCAGCCCTGCCTGTAGGGCACGTGGAGGGAGATGAAGAAGGGGCGGCTCAGCGAGGCTGCCATGGCTGGGCAGGCTGCGGGGAGGATGCATGGGGTCAGGGGGGTTTGTTGGTCATGGGAAGCAGCCATTCCCCACCTTGCATGGAGCCCAAGTGCATTTGCAGGCACTGATGCATGTAAATCTGCACCCCTTAAAGGAGCCTATTTTAAGTAAGTGGGTCTCACAAGCCAATGCACTCTGTGTAAGGGTACCCAGCTTTAGATCAACTGCAAAAACCACCCCTTTGCTATGCTGCCCCATTGCACATCTGTGCCTGGGGTTGCACAGGAGGAAAGCCTTGGCTGCAACCCTGCAGGTCCCTGCTGGAGCCCTTTGTCCCTGAAGGATGCTGCAAGGAGGTTGGGGGTAATCGGGGTGAAGGAGATGTGCTGCATGTGTAAGCAAGACTATAGGGACAAGGGTTGGGCAGGGAGAAAATGTTCTGTTCCAGCAACAGCAACCTGGATGGAGGATGGACTGGTAAATAGGGAGCTGGACTGGTTACAGCTAAAGGGCTCTTGTGCCTGCGGTGTCCACAAACGGTGGGGGTGAGCAGCAGGATCACTGATGTGCTCTCCCCTCCCCAACAAGGACGGTGCGGAGCTACTGTGCTCCCTGCACCAGGCTCGGGGCAATGACCTTGCTTTAGGGTGCAGTGGGTGAAATAGGAGAGACGCTGCAGAAGTGACCTCCATCCCCACACATACATACCCGTCACTATGAAGACGGGAAAAGGCTCTGTCCAAAACCCTGCAGCATGCCACTGAGGCTTCCTCACCCCACCGAGGTGCACTGGGGCGGGGGGGGAGCTGCTTAAACATCCCCTTCCACCAGCCCCCCCCAGTAGGCACAGGCAGGGCACCGGGCTCTGCCACGCTGGGGCTGCGACCCCCAACTGCCACGGGGGAGCAGGGGCCAGCGCAGCCCGCTGGGACCCTCGGCTGCTCCGCAGCACCCTGGGGCGCAGGGTCCTTGCTGGGGCCGCTGCCCGCTGAGCACATGGCCAGGGGCCGGACGCCGCTGCCTCCCTCCCGCTCTGCTCCCGCTCCCGCTCCCACCGCCGCCTGTCCCAGCCCTTGCCCAGTCCCCCCCGCCCGCCCTCGGCCTGCGGCTCACCGGGGTCAAGGCTGCGGCCGAAGGGGCTGCCGGGCCGGGCCGGGCCGGGGCGGTTCAGTTCGCTCCTCCCCGGCATGCAACTGGCCGGAGGGGGGGGGGGGGGAGCCGGAGGTGGCAGGGAGGGTGCAAGGGGAATGCCCTGCTATGGGAATGGCTTCCCGGTGGGATGTGACGCTGCGTTGGCACGGTGTGGGAGGCAGGGGTGTGCGGCTGGACGCTGAGGGTGCTGGCAGTGCGTACAGCCTGGCTTTGCAGGGCAGGAAGCGGGCTGATAACCACACGCACCGCGGCCACCGGCTCGGGGGTGAGCAAAGGGAGAGGGGAGCCCCGTGGTGGCGTGGGGTCCCCTGGGACTGGAGGTGAAATGGCTCATGGCTGTGCTGGGTCATTCCTGACAGCTGGGATCCTGCTGGGGCAGGATTTGCAGTGTGGGGTGTGTGGCCCTGCTCAGTGCGGGGGGCTTCACAGTGCCCAGGGAGCCCGGGCTGGCCTGGGGGAGCAGTGTGCGTGTGAAGGGTCTGATATCAGTCATGGGATGGGTCTGCACCAGGTTGACCCCTGACCACAGCCCATGGCCTCACGTCCTTGCTGACGTGTCTGAGCCCCTCCAGCAGGGCAGCAATTCCCTTATGGCTGTTTTCAGAGGACTATCTCCCCCCTTTATGTGTCTGGGCCGTGCTGCTGCCCCCGCTGTGTCTGCTGCTGTCCCGGCCTTATCATGTGTTTGTGGAGAGCACAGGGACGATAAACCTGCTCAAATATTTGTGGAGACATCTGTGTGTGCCCAGAGAGGAGACCTCCCCCTGCTCACACCGGAGGGGCAGAACCCACTGGTGCCGATTTCCCAAGGGAACGCAGCCTTTCCACACCACCGCAGCCCCCTCGGCATGGGGCTGGGCAGGAGGCATGAGACTGGACACCGGGGGCTTGCTGTGGGGCCAGGCACAGTGGGGTCTAAGAGCGGTAGTGGCACGGTACAGCAGGCCAGCATGGCCTTTGGGGTGCCATCCTGCTGGGCAGGGAGCTGTGGCACCCCAGGGGTGCGGGGCCTGCAGCCCTTCACTGCAAGCAGTGCCCTTGGCAATGCCCCCGTCGCTCCTGTGCCCATGGGGGGGTTCGAGCGGCCCTGGCCATCTTTCCCAGTGGCACTGCCTGGCACCCTCTGCTCCAGCCCAGCACCAGGCACCGCTTTGCCCCAGCGAGGCCGGAGCCGGCTGCAGCAGCAGGACCCCGGGGCTGCGTGGCCCCGAGGGGGACAGGGACAGTGCCTGCCTTGTTGCGGCCCCCGAGGCGCAGTCCCCGCTCCAGCCAAGCTCCTCTCCTCCCTCCTGGGCGGGGAGAGTGGACAAGAGATAAAAGGGAGCCCAGGGCCGGGGGGGGCATTGCCAGGAGCCGCTGGGGCCAGCAGGAGGGAGGTCTGGCCAGAGGACACAGTGAGAAGTGCGGTACTCGGGGCTTGTTCTCATGGGGGGAGAGGGCTGGCACTTGGGGGTAGATGCATCCATCCATCCTGAACAAACCCTGCAGCCCCCTGCTCCCGTTCCGGCCCCATTGTTCTCCCCCTGCCCATTAAATGTGGATGCTGGAGGGATGCCCGTATTTTGGGGTGGGCTGGGTTAGGGGGGCTGTGAGAGGAAGGGGCTTCAGGCAGATATTGGGGAGCAGGGCTTTAAAGGCTCTGTGCGTCCCTAAAGTGCGTCGTGGGGGAGGCAAAGACTCTCAAGGTGACCTGAAGGTGAAACTATCCCAGTCCCACTAACTCCCCACTGGTAGCCGAGGTGTCAGGGACTGCATCCCTGCCTGCCTCTGGGACAAAGACAGACCCCTGGTTGAGGTTGAGCTTGGGCTTTGGGGTCAGCGGGGTGGAGAAGACCCATGGGGGAAGCAGGGCCTTCATCCCCTAATACGTGGAGCGATTGCCTTGCTGCTTGGGGCAGATGGGGACACTCAGCTGTGGCAATGGGTGGCCACTGAAGACTGCAGTGAGGGTGCTGTGCTTGTCAGGAGCTGGGCACCATGATTCCCTCACCCTTTTTGTTTTCTCCCACAACTCGTGGTTCCCAGCTCCCAGTGCTGCACTGGGACCAGTCCAACACTGCCCACCAGTCTCTGTCCGTCCTGGAGGGGGGTGCATGGAGAGAGTTGGGATTGCAGTGGGGTTGGGGGGACCCCATCATGTTGAGCCCTGGGGCAGAGGGGACACTAATGCCCTGTTCCCCCCTACCAGGGGGTCCAGGGTCCAGGATGGGGCTGCTGGTGCTGGCCCTGGCTGCCTGGCTGGGGCTGGCCTCAGCCTCCGAAGGGGCAGACAACAGCAGCCGGCTCTGCCAGGAGGCACCGGCGTGGAGCATCAACGGCTTGAGCCCCATGGAGGGGGCTATGGGGCAGGTGACAGTGGTGGCTCTGCTGAAGGCCAGCTGACACTTCTGCCTGCAGCAGGCCCGCAGGTGAGCCCTGCTCCCCTACCCCAAACCCAGCCCTGCTGTACTGAGGGGCGGTATCACAGCCCCCCACCCTGGCACCCCCATCCCATTGCCTCCATCCCGCAGCCTCGGGGGCCTGCAGGACAAGCTGGCCCGGCAGGGCACGGTTGATGTCCGCTACATGATCGTCAATGAGAAGGCACCGCTCTCCCGCGCCATGGTCAGGGAGCTGGAGCGCCAGGCCCCCCCCGGCATCCCTGTCTTCCAGCCGGAGCCGGAGGACCCCGATGTCTGGCAGGTCCTTGGGGGTGACAAGGATGACTTCCTTGTCTATGACCGGTGAGTGTGCCCCGTCTTGGCTGGGGCTTCCCTGGTTATGGGGTGTTTGATGCCATGGCTTGAGCTGGACCATGGCATCTCCCCGCAGGTGTGGCCGCCTGGCTTTCCACATCCAGCTGCCCTACAGCTTCCTCCACTTCCCCTACGTGGAGTCGGCCATCCGCTTCACCCACAGCAAGGACTTCTGTGGCAACTGCTCCCTCTACGCCAACGCCACCCAGCAGGTAAGGAGCAGGGCTGCTCGCTGGAGCCGGCTCCCTTCTCTCCTCTGGTGTTGCACATCAACCTTATCTTCATGTCAGGGGCAGCTCCGGGTTGGCAGCCGCACTCAGCCGTGGTTGAGAGGGAAGGTGATGAGAGGTCTGGAGTAAGGGCACTTAAATAGGTCAGAGCTTTCAAGTGGAGAAGGAGTGCACTAATGGGGTCATAGCCCGGGTCTGGAAGAGCTAACTAGGGTTGTGGCTGTTCTGATGTAAGAAAGGGGCAGGCCATGGACCAGAGGTGGCCCACTCAGGGCAAAGGAAAGGCCATAGCTCTGGGCTCAGCAGGTGATTGCTCACCTCCTAGGAAAAATCCATCTGGAAATATTAACTGCAGAGTCCCTTTCCTGGCTCAGGAATTCCCTCAACCACAGACAACTTGAGCCAAGGGATGTAGGTACAGAGGTTTCTGCTCTATGTGCTCCAGCCTCTCCTGTCCTCCCAGGCTCAGGAGAGCCTTTGCTCTGACCCGTGCAGCCTTTTGTGTGATGGATGCTCCTCTGCCTTCATCCCAGCTCAGATTTGTGCTCGCAGGCTCATGCAGGGCTCTGTGTGCACTCACACCCTGCGCCAGCCCTTGTGTTGCTCTCCTCAGGCTAACAGCACCACGGAGGCTCCTGCAACCCTGAGCCCGCTTCCCAAACCAACGGGGAAGGAGACGGAGACCCCCATCCGCCAGCACAACCCCGTCCGTCCTCACCATCACAGCGGGGTCAGCAGTGAGAGAGCCACAGACCCAAGTGGGGACCACGAACGTGCCACCCATGCTCACCGCCACGACGGGGACCATGGCCAGCCCCATCATGAGGGGAAGAAGCAGAAGGAGGCACAATAAGCACTAAACCAGGGTGGGCAGCCTTGCAGAACCCAGTAGTGTGCAGACCATGGCCAGCTCGCTTCCCAGAGGCACGAAAGGACTGACTTTGGGCTGCTTCTCACTAGCAGCATTGGTATAGCCCCCTCCAGCATCCCCCATGTGGGTCATTGCTCCCATTCTGGGACCAGGGATGAAAATCCCCCTCCGACCCTGTGGGGTGCTGCATGCTCAGCCCCAGGGCTCGGTTCTGAGCCCTCCTCCACCACTGCCTGCCTTCCCGTGCTCCATGAAGCCTGCTGTGCAAACCGGGATGTCCCGGTCGCTGCTGGCTGACACTGCACGGGGCAGCAGGACAGGGGTGGAAGGGCCGGAGCTGGGGTGGGAGCAGCACTGCTGGCACACTCTGCTCATCCTTGGCACCCCGGGGTGTCCCGGAGCGAGGGGAGGGACAGCGTGTGCTCCACAGGATGTGATCCCAGGGGATGCGGGCACCAGTCGCAGGTCCCCATGGTCTAAACCCTGTACCCCCATAGCTGCCACTTTCTGGGGACCCCCCCAAGCCTTGCGCACGGGTATGTGCAGTGGTGATGGGCGGCCGCAAGATGGTGGCCTTGTCCCCTCGTGGAGACCTAGGGGCTGTATCCAGGACCCACAGCCCTGGGAGGACGGGGTGAGGATGCTGGGGTCTCTGCTGTGGGAGATGGGAAAATGATGCTGATATCCAGAGTGAATAAAGCCTCTGTGAAGCGAACCCTGCTCAGCCTGGTCTTTGGTGGGGCTCCTCCTCCAGAGACTGCAGGAAGCTCACCCAGGACAGGCTGGCCCTGGGCTTTTTGGTGGGCACAGAGCACACATCTTTGGGGGATGTGGACCCCATAGAGCTGGCAGTGATTTACATTCCCTTGTGCAGAGGTAAAGGGGTCGAAGATCAAAGAGACCCCATCTCTTCATGCTTTCTGGATACCTCCTCCTGCTTAGTCCCACCCAGGGCAGCGCATTTACCTGCACCACAAAGGGGGAAGTTTGGCCAGACACCTCAATCCCTGTTTGTAGGTGTGATGTTGGGGTGCCTGCCCTGAGCTGCTCTTGTGGGGCCAAAGTTCCCACACACAGCCCAAAGTCACCTCGGGCATCGTGGCTCCAGTGCCCAGACCGGTCCCCACTGTGAGCATATCGTGCAGCTCCCCAGCCCTCAAGTTGGGTGCACCCCTGGTAGGCAGCCTGCACTGCCCCATGCCTTC